TAACCTGTGTAGTGACCTCATCAGATCGCACGCTTGAGATCATATGACAACGACAATCTAATTCGACTGTTTTGAACAAAATCTCAGAGAGGGGAGCATTAATTCCCCGTAAATAAATTTGAATATATTGGATTAAGAAACTCTGTGTCCTTTTTTATATTGAGATATTCTTTTGTTTCTTAATAAAAATCATTTCAGATGTTAATATTTTATGCAAATTTTCTTCTTCAAAATTGTTATATTCTCCCAATCAAAATCATGGGAAAATTTTAATCTGTGATATTATGTTTATATATTTTACATGTATCGCCGAAATTAAAATATTTAATAGAAAGTTAGTATCCGTATCAAGTGCACGTATCAAGTGATATAAACTAAGTAAATATTGAAAGCTTCTAGTAAATTCACCATAAAAACTTATAAAAGAAAATCTGTTGAAACACATTGGCCAGCCGACGGCCATAAATTGTTTCTCGTAAAGAACATGTCGACTTTCATAGTCTGAAAACCATAGACACTTATAGGTTGGTACGAGGCAAGTCAATAAGTTTTTAGAAAAACATAGTAAAACACTTTTTTTTTTATCGATTCATTTTTATTTCTCATAATCTCCTTTCAGCTGGATACACTTGATCCAATGATTTTCCAACTTTTTCAAGCCGTCCGATATATGATTAATGTGATTTGTCCCCAACCCTTCAAAATAAGTCCCTGTTTCGACGATGAGCTGCTCTCTGGTAGTGAATCTCTTTCCTCCGAACTTTTTTCAGGTTTGTAAACAGGAAATAGTCGCAGGGAGCTAAATCTTGCGAATACGCTGGATGGGAAAGCAATTCGTAGCGGAATTCGTTGAATTTGGTCATCGGACGTGTGAACTCGTGCATTGTCTTGGTGAAAGAGCACTTTCTTCTTCGCCAAATGAGGACGTTTTTTCTTTAAAATGTTATTGAAACGGTAGTAGTAGTTGATCGTTTGCTTCGATGGAAGGAAATCGATATGAATTATACCGCGTGCATCCCAAAAAATTGTGGTCATCACCTTTCCGGACGACTTCACGGTCTTCGCCTTCTTCGGAGCTGGTTCACTCGGCGAAGTCCATTGTTTTGACTGTTCCTTCGTCTCGGGTGTGAAGTAATGGATCCATGTTTCGTCCACAGTAATGAATCGACGCAGAAATTCATCTGGATTACGTTGAAACATCTCCAAATATTGTTTTGAAATTGTCATACGCGGTCGCGCTTATGGTCCACAGTAAGCAAACGCGGCACCTATCTTGCCGAGCTTTTTCATACTCAATTGTTCGTGCAAAATTGAAATCACTGTGCCATGTGATATGCCTGTGGCCTCAACAAGCTCACGCACTTTCACTCGTCGGTTAATCGAAACAATATCGTGGGCTTTATCGATGATTTCTGGCGTAGCAGCCTCAATTAGACATCCCGAATGAGGTGCATCACATGTGGATATACGATCACGTTTAAATTCATTCACCCAATTGTATACAGTCGCAAACGCTGGTGCAGATGTGCTATGAACATTATCCAATTCGGCTTTGATTTCTTTCGGCGTTAAATCTTTCATATGTAGATGTTTGATCACTGCATGAAACTCGTTTTTTTCCATTTTGCAAAAAATAAAAAGGTTGTTCGCTTTAATCGTCTACAGAAATGAAGCTACGCGAATTCCGCTCAAAATTTGACAGTAATCAGTTAAAAGATGCTACTTGTCAAAAAGTAATGTGACATGATACTGCGAATGTCCCCTGACAGATTTTCTAAGAACTTATTGACTCGTATGTTTAACTTTTCGTTTCTTTTCCAAATAGAATAAAGCAGACAAATTCTCTGCTTTAAGAGGATCCTCCTGTTTTACCACGTAAGCACATATATTTTTTGTATAAGAAATACTTTTTTTTCCAATTCAAAAATCCTTTTTCATAATTAAAGTATACGCTCTAATACTTGTCTGGAAAGTGGAGTCTATGACGAGAAAAAAAAATTTTAAAATTGATATATTAGGCATAGTAAAAAGAAATCCATTATTTTTCCAATAGATGACTAGTAATCTGTATCTCGCGTTGCGAGATTTGTTTGACATGAAAGCTTCGCAACCTGTACATGCGAAATAGTGGTTTCCAGACATGTAGTTTACACAAACAAACAACGTCGAATTCTTAGAATTAGACTTAGACGTTTTATCGCTACGAATTTGTTATATGAAAATTAACACGTACGTGTTAATTGACTGCGTGTAGGTTGCGTGAGGTATTGCTGTGACAGTATAAAAACATATCGATATGCGTAGAGTCCCTAGAAGAAGAGAGTCTGGACATTCGGCGGAAGTGCTCTCAAAATGGCGACAAATATGTGTGTATGTATGTAGTGTTAATATAGGTGTTTCGTTTGGCTACTGTGTCATATAAGTAACATTTTTTTATTAATACACATCAATTTGTGATGATTAATAATAATATATAATAGCTCTTCAATTCAATATAAAAATTAAATAAGTAATATTTTTGATATGTATTTACATATATATAATTATTAATTATTATCTAATTATTAATTATTATTAATTATAATTATTCTTTGAAGACGGCTAAAAAATGAGCCGAAACATATAAGCGCGTTATTAAGAGTAATAAAGAATTTTTTGTGTTATATTTGTATATTATTCGCGCAATAATTATTGTGCCCGACTCTTATTGCGCCGTTACCTTTAAATTTCTTTTTAATAGTAAGAAGTTCTTGAAGATTAATTTATGATGATTATTTATTTTGACTTCGTATCAGCTGCGCACTACGGCATTGCCAAAACTGTTATTACTAATGCGATCCATGAAGTAAAGGTAAACTTTATGAAAATAAAGTTTTAAATCCATACGGTAAAGTCCGATTTTTCTTTTGTGTACACAATCCCTACAGTACAAAAGTTGCAGCAACAATGCTGCAACATTGCAGCAATATTGAGCATTATTGAGCGATATTGCTGCAAATTCTGTGCTGTATGAGAATGATTGATATTTCATCTGTCAAATGCTTAATAGTTTTTCAAAGTTCTAAGTTGGCTGAGTATGTATTAAATGTAATTATTTACTTCGAAATGATCGTCTCCCATAAGGCGATATGCTTTGTCAACTTCAGAATAATATTACAAGAAAACTATACGGTCAATATTGTTCAAATTGTAGGATTATTTATGTACAGTATTTATACAACATATAAAAAAATTTCTACAACATATAAAAAAATTAAGACTCTCAGTTTTGATTTTCGACTAATAGGCGAATCTCCTTAAATTATATCACATTTTGAGTATCGCAGAAAAAACACTGGCTAATATATCAATATGGTCAGTCACTTATTCCATCATTCTCATTGATTAATCATCTTCTTGCGTAACAAGATACCTTTTTTTATTTATTACACCATGTAACTATTATACAACATGTTTGTAAATATAAATATATGTTATATCGCAGTTATATTCAATAATGTTTGCTAGGATGTAGCAAACATTATTGAATATAACTACGATATAACATAGATTATAAACTATTGTAGCAATCCATACAGCACCGATTATTGCGGAAAGTTTTCAGAAATGTTTCAACCTTTCACATCTCACATGCAACAACTCTGAAAGGATTCCGCATACGTTATATGAAATGTTTTAACAGAAATGTTTCTAAAATCTATCATATGCAATAAATTGAAAAACATATTTATACAGAACAAAAAATCATCATATTAAAATGGTTCCAAAATGTTTACTAAAAGTCATTGATCGCAATTGGGTTTATTTTGATGTTATGACTTGTTCTACTTTAAGTGCAAAAAACTTTTGTATATGAATTACTTGTTCTGCTTTAATTGCGAAAAACTTTGTATATGAAATGATATTGTGTAAAAACTGCAGGTGTGATTTTTTAATAATGATTATGTATAAGTGCTTTTGTGCAGAAAATATGTAGTATTAATTAATCAAAATAGTTGGCGATATAATTACTATTTTTGAGAAATACTTGAAGTTTATTTCAATAAGATTTGTAATCTGTAAATAGATCACAACAAAAACTCTCAACAAATTTTAAGTACTTCAGAAATGATATTTAAATATATGTTTAATTGATACTTAAACAATATTCAAATTTATTATGTCAACATAATAAATTAAAATATTATTTAAGTATCAATCAAATATATACTTAAATATCATTTTTGTAAAAAATGGTTGAAATTTTGATAATATTTAGAGAGATTAAGAATTTTTTCTATGACATTTCATCAACCTTTCAACAAGATTTCATATACAAGAATCGTGGACTCTATTTGTTATTTCAGAGCTGTCTCAGAAATGTTACAGACGTATTTTTATAAAATGTTTCACTTTTCAGTTGAAATACGTATTTCTGAGATGTTTCTAAAAACTTTCGGTGCTGTAAATTATGGAAATAATTTATGGAAATTTTAATTATTATATAGGTATATACAGGGAGTCCCAAAATTTTTTGCTAAGCGCTCTTGTTTAGATAGAGCGGACTAAATTGAATAAAAAACTCCTGTACTATTTTGCAATTGTTGCAATATTTAACAAGATATTAATTACTAAAAGTCGCTGAATATTATTTTCAATAATTTTTTACTTAAATATTATCAACTTTACAGAAAAACAGTGAGAGACAAAAATTGTTTATTTTCTTCTTATAAAGTTTTGACAATATTTTCAGAACTTTTTCAGAATTTTTTAATATCGTATTTTCTTATGTTAGTAAAATAGTTGCCAATAAGAAAATGCAGTACCAAGAAGTTGATAAAAAATTCTGAAAAAATTCTTAAAGTTCTATAAGAAGAAAATAAACAATTTTTATCTCTTGCAGTTTTCTTGTAAAGTTGATAGTATTTCTATCTATACAAGAGCGCTTGGCAAAAATTTTGGGACACTCTGTATATTCCAATTTTCCCAACAATTATTGATGACAAAATATAGCGTATTACCTTTCCTAAATGGCTCACAAGATATTTCAATTCCTTTATTTCAATATCGTCATAAGTTTGGCCACGGTACCATTTTAAAGAATCCTTCGCTTTTATTTCGTTATTCTTCGTGAGATGATAAAAAGGACTTTCGGGCAATAGATTTACCAAAGCAATCACGAAGCATGTCACGGCACAAATTAAGCTGTACCTAATCACTTTATGTGTTATTATTATTAATTATGTTAACTATTCTATGATTCTATAATTTTTAGATTTCGACTCGATTAAATTTTACATTTGGTATGTAATATATTTTGATTAACGTAGAATATACAAAAGTATATTTTAATAAGTATAACTAAAATTTAATCAACATAAAAATTTATCAATTTTCTATTATTATAGTCAGAGAAAAGATATTCATATTCTACAAAATTTAATGTTACGTACAACAATTGGCATATTACATTTAACGTTAATGTTATTTTTACTTAGACAAAAGTTTATCACTTTTGAAGCTCCCATATGTATTATTTTAATAACAGCTACGCAATTTGAGAGTTCTCTGTGTCAATACATCATCATAAATACTAATGTTTCAGTTATTTCATGAGACTGAGTATTAAATTATTTCTCGTTATAATCAAATAAACTACAATGTTTACAAAACATTGGCATTTAATAAATATAATATATCAAGACAAAGAGATAATCACGTAGCTTCTTTAAAAGTTTATCATTGAGCAAAATATTTAAACATTTCGAATCATAGTATTAATACATCCCATTAATAGAAAGAAGGTAATATTATGGTCAGAGTAAATTATAATGACATCTTTTAATATCTCTGATATGAAAGGGCAAATTCTAATGATTATCTATAGAATTTTTTATTTAGTAATTTGATGTTACATTATGATACTAATATGCAATACGCAATAGTTTGCATTTATTATAACGTATATTTACTTTCAAGTATTTTAAAATGTTTTTAAGGTATTCTTCGTTATATTAATTTGAGTTATTTTTACATGAATATATTATATAGAATAGGATCGGATATTATGAGTACTGTAGATAATATGAGCATCTTTTATATTTCTGTAATGGTTGATATCAGTAGTGTCAACTGTTGTAGAAAGATGTATCTGTCTTAGCGATATTCCAATATGCTACAAAATTTGAGCACTTAAATAAGTAAATTTAAGTACTTTGGATATTTATCATATTAAATAGGTATGTATGTTATTTTCTTATTTCTTACGTTTTTTCCTCTAACTTTAGGTTCCCAATCTACATTGAGATAAGATATTTTGTTCTGCATGTTAATATTTATAAAGTAAACAATATTGAGCCATTCTAAATATTTATTCTTCAAAAATCCCGAGATCATTATTGATTTATTAGACACGGGAGTTTTTCAGATAGGTTTGCATGGTCGAGTATTATATGAGCACCTTCATTATTCCTTATTATACACAGAAAAAAAGAGTCTGGGGTCGGCAATCACTATGGCAATCAGTGTACATTTCTTTCGAAATATATTGCGACAGTATAGTAATAAAATAGGCAATGCTAGCAGTATTAGCAATACACTAGCAATATGCTAGTAATATATAGTATTAGGTTGATGCGTATGAAATATCGGATTTATAAGTGAATATATAAAACTATATATCTTTTTTCAAAAGCTGTTTATTTAATCAAAATATGCTCCATTTGTTTCAATTTCTCAACGAGATTTTAATTCATAGATACCTGTCTTAAAGAAATTCTGATCTTTAGAATCAATAAACTCTGATATGGAATTTTTCAGTCTTCATTTTCTGTCTTCATTTTCATACTATTTAGCCCGTAAAAACTGTTCTAAATGTTTAAAAAAATGAAAGTCGGTTGGCGAAAGATCCGGTGAATAAGCTGGATGTTGCAAAATTTCATATTTTAATTCATTTAATTTCACAATTGTTTTGTACGACGTATGCGGCCGAGCGTTGTCATAGAGAAGTATTGGGCCATGCCGATTAACAAGTAATAGGCGTATAATTTTCAATTTTTCATGTATTTCAATGTACTGGCAGTACTTTTCGGCTGTAATTGTCTTCCCAGTTCGAAGGAATGAGTAATGAATTACT